GTTGGGTGACAAAGAAAGCTGTTAACTGAATTACAAAATTCTTATGGAAATAAGCAGTTTGGGTGGTAGTCAGAGTGGGAAATTCAAAGAACTTGTTGCCCTCTCTTCCTGGATACCAAAAGGTAGGCTGTCGCTTACTTTTAAGAGATGTTATTAAGGAATTCAGATGGAATATGTTCCTTGGGAATGTAGAATCAAATCGCGGTTAACCCTCCTTGGCTTATGGTAGCTTATAAGGTAAGTATCTCTCTCACCCTTCATAAGACAGTCTAGATATTGGGAAGTCGTTCTCTGTGCTTCACTTGAAACCATAATGAGAAAGGTGCTATTGGGGTCTCCAGGCCACGTTCGGGTTGTTTTCCTGCATCTAAGCATGATTTCTGAAATCCATTATAAACGTTCCATGCAGCTGACTCTTTTTTTGCCAGTGTGGCCTTTTTACCTTGTTTTGAAAATCCAAGTCAATTGCTAGGGTAGCATGTTGCCCTTACGTAAGGTCTTTTTGGTCGGCTGTGAAGGGAAGCTGAAACATAAAGATTTGGGGGGCTTCCTATGATTAATGCCCACAACCGTTTCTGCAAAATTGACTCTCACCCTGTGTGTTGCAGGTGATATTTGAATCCGTCTCTTTGAAGGGTCATCCTGGCTACATCGCTGTGGACGAGGTCCGGGTCCTCGCTCATCCGTGCAGTAAGTCTGCTCATCCATGCAGTAAGTCTGTGCCCTCCTCCCACCACAGCCTTGCTCCATGCAGACTGGGTAACTTGAAGGCTGCAGTCCCTCCCATTCATTCAGCTCATAAACATCTCTCTCACTCTCTCTCTTCGCTCATCCGTGCAGTAAGTCTGTGCCCTCCTCCCACCACAGCCTTGCTCCATGCAGACTGGGTAGCTTGAAGGCTGCAGTCCCTCCCATTCATTCAGCTCATAAACATCTCTCTCACTCTCTCTCTTTTAATCCTTCAAAAATGCTTACATACTCAATGCAATCAGTCCTGAATAAATCCATAATTTTGCCGGCCTGTTCAACAGGCAGCCCCTCCAGGAATTTGCAGAGAGTGGCAAAACATCTTCGTTTGAATCTCTCTCCATTATTAAGGGAGTCTAAAGTCCTGATTGTTTATTAGTGGGATTCAGACCACTGAAGTGGAAGAATTAGAGGGCTTTGGATAGAATCTTTTGCAATTGTCTTAAAAAAAGAACACGACCAAAACACGGAGCAAATTAGCACACTGTTCACTCACAGGGAAAAGTACCCCAAAGCTATTAATTCTTTAAAAATAATTTTAAATACACTCATCAGCTCCGTGCAGGCATCGGGAGAGATTTGTCACAGTGGTTAGTACTCACGGTACAGTGTCGAGAGTCCTCAGAGGCATACCACTCTTCCATCCGCTTTTGTCTTGAAGTTCCCTCTCTGCTGTATTTAGTCTAAGATACTTGAATGTGTTTCAGCAGGGAGGTGTGGGTCCTGGGTTCACTAAATCTCAGAGGAGGCAAGTAGTTGAGATGCAGGGTGCAGGTAGTTGAGATGACATCATATCTAGTGACACTGGGTCGGGGGACTGTAATCAAAGGGATATGTGTGGGGGTTATGGCAGACTCTGGGAGGAGTAGCTGGGATGCCAGCCCCACTAGTTTGTTGGTACTCTGCAGATTGGAGATTCCCATTAGTTTTTTGGCAGTCACCGAATTCTAGTTAACCCCTAGTGGGGCTCTCTGCACACTCCCCATATGGTCATGAATCATGCTATCGGCTATGGTGCAGTTGCTGCTACCTCAGAAGATTTTATGCACCCTCTCCTTATGTGCCTTCCAGTCCTCCCATTTGGGGACTATTTTCATTTCATTCCCATCCATGTTGCTTTAACTGAAATAACTCTTTCCTCTTCTGCTGCGATGAATCTGTCAGATCCTCAACTATCATTTCCAGCCCTCTGCCTGGCACTGGAAATACCATTGTGTGACTCATTGTCTTAGAGCACCTTCTCTGGAGGAATTTGGGATAAGTTCCAAGTTCCAGATAATATGTTGGGAACTGTGCTTGGTGTCTGTGCAAAAGAGACCCTCCTTCCCAGGAATCAGCCAGCATCTCAGGAATGCTGAGATCTAGTGTATGCTCTTCCTTACACTGGCTTAAGATCCCTACCCTCTGGGCTACTCCCTGAGCCTTTGAGAATTTTGTCAGATAGGTCTGCCCATTCAGTCATGCCTGGGAAATGTCTCTACTGACTCAGACTTCATGTGAAAAGGATCTCAGAAATCCCCCCAGCTATGTAGGGTTGATACAGTGCATATGTTGATGAGTCCTTGCTCACCAGGATTAAATCTTACCCTCCCTAGACTCCTGCGAGTCAGCATCAATTGCCCATTGGAGAACTATCTTTGGCCTAAGACTGGGAAACTGTGTCAGGAGTTGTCTATTCCATCCGTGGTCCATTAAACTGCGCACACTCTTCCCTGCACATATTCTGTCTCATAGAGCATGCTCACTTTTGCTGCATCTACTTGTATTCCTGCTTCTCACCTTGTGCTTGATGCTTGGACTTGGTCTTTCTAGTAGGTGATACTTGGCTCTTCCCAGGACAAAACAGCATGGCTCCCTATCCCTGGATCACAGAACTCTGTGCTCTAATGGGAATTTTCACCTCCACCGTGACACCCAAACTAGACACCCATCTCTTGTCCCAGCCTCAACTGCCTTTAAGGCCAGATTGGTAAAAGCTCAGCCTTACTTCCAAGCACTGTCCGTGTTTTGCCACCACAGGTAAATGCCTCCTTCTGTCTGAGAAATCTCTATGGCAAAGGGTTCTCTGGAAGGCATTTGATTCCTTTCCACCCCCAAAGTCTCGTGGCTCCTTTGGAATCCTACTTTCATTGGGGCTGCTCCTCAATTTAGGATTCTCCTGACAACCTCATCCTCCTGCTGCTGAGAAGTGTGGATTGCACGGTTATGGAATTGCTGAGAGCCAGTTGCCCATCAAATGGGCCATGGGATATAACTCAGAAAGACGTGACCCTGGCTTTATTCCTGTATAATGTGCTTCTGCTGACTTCAGCCTCAATGCTTAGGCAGCTTAAGCATAAACTTCCCTAGAAACCGCAATGTGAAGGCCCTGTAAAAGTGGCTGGAATTGGAAAAATTCCATTTAACTCTCTGGACAAATACTGGCAGTGTATATAGTAGTCTGAGGTATATCCACAGCTCACAAATCACATGGAGTTGAGTAGGGCCTAGCAAAGGCCACTTCCCCAAAGCCAATACTTAATCTATATTGAGCCCAGGTTTTTATTCATCTTTTTTCTAAGCACGTGCGTTATTGAACATCAGCTATGCGTCAAGAATTTTGCTGGGCACAGTGGATACTGAAGTGACTAAGAATCGTTGAATTCCTGTCCTCATTGTGGTTTCTTAGCAGGAGGGTCAGAGGGAGGGAAGATACTAATAAGTAACTAATATTAAATAAGTAACTAATAATTGCAGATAATGATCAGTGCTGTGAATATAATGTGAGTGGCTTGAATATGGGAGGGCTTCTGATGTAGAGTTGTCAGAGCAGGTGTCTTTGAAGATATGATCTGAGCTGAGACTCAAGTCCTAGAAAGGAGTGCACTGTGCAACAATTTAGGGAGGGGCATTCTAGGCCAATGAAACAGCAAGTGCAGGGACCCTGTAAGGAAAGTCAGCTTGATGCTGCTAGTATGTTCCAAGCATACAGAGCACAGGAGAAAGTGGTGTAAGAGAATGCTAGACAGGTAAACTGGGGCCTTGGGCATCATCGTGAGCAGTTTAGATGTTAATCTAAGTGTTGGGAGGCACTGCTGGAGGGATTTATGCTTGGGGTTGATATAACCTTATTTAATTATTAAAGATCACTTGAGCTAATCTGTGGAGAATGAGATGAAGGTCCATAGAGAATGAGTTGAAGGCCTCATAGACCTATGAGGATAAAAGTTCTGGAGTCATGCAAGAGGTGGTGGTGGCCTGGACTACGATGTTGGAGATACCTTTCATAATCCAATGAGTATTTACCTGGCATGTACTCTGTGCCAGGCACTATTCTGGGTTTATGGGAGTGAGTAAGTCAGACTCATTCTCTGTCCTATAAAAGTTCTGGAGTCATGCAAGAGGTGGTGGTGGCCTGGACCACGATGTTGGAGATACCTTTCATAATCCAATGAGTATTTACCTGGCATGTATCTGTGCCAGGCACTATTCTGGGTTTATGGGAGTGAGTAAGTCAGACTCATTCTCTGTCCTAATGGGCTTCTGGTGAAGTGAAAACACTGAAAATAAAACAAATAATGAGGTAATTATTTGATAAATAACAGATGGCGTTTTAGTGTGGTAGGGCCACCATAAGAAAATATCACAGATTGGGTGGCTTAAACAACAGAAATATATTTTCTGGAGAAAATGCATGTTCTGGAGGCCAGAAGTCCAAGGTCAATGTGCCGACAGGGTTGGTTTCTGGTGAGGCTCTCTCTCCTTGGCTTGCAGAGGGCCTCCTTCTCACCATGTCCTCACATGGTCTTTCCTCTGTGCTAGCAGGTGCTAGGTGTCCAAATGTCCTCTTCTTGCAAGGACGCCAGTTAGGTTGGCTTAGAGCCCACTCTAACAAACTCATTTTAACTTAACCTCTTCTTTAAATGCCTTGTCCCCAAATACAGTGACATTCTGTGGTACTGGAGTTCAGGGCTTCATCATATGAATTTTGAGGAGACACAATTCAGTCCGTAGCATGTGGTCCTCAGTGCTATGAAGAAACATAGAACATGGAGATGGAAAATGGTGGGGGATTAGAGATATATTTAGGCAGTTGTAGTGGATTGAATTATGTCCCCCGTAAAACTCCCTGAAGCTTGAATTGTGTCCCCCAAGTTTTATGTATTAGAAACTTAATCCCCACTGCAACTGTTGAGGGTGGGAAGTCCCATTATGGTAATTGAAAGGTGGGGCCTTGAAGAGGTGATTAGATTGTAGGACCATGCCATAA